GTGGCTGGTGCCTAATTGAACACTTAACATTTTCACGTTCAAAGAAAAGCTCAGGCTGCTGCCTTAGTGGAATTGGAAAGAGAATCAAGAGGCTGTGCCTTTAGTTCTGTTAAGTCAGCGTACTCTTGACCGCCTCGTACTGTAGGAAAGTCAGAGCCTTGTTCTCAGATGCCGTATGGCTGTCTTAAATAATCAATTGGGATATTTAGAGATCAAGAATAAAATCAAAGGCTCTTGGAAAATTCAATGTATCTGAATTTGATGTATGTAGCAGGAAAATAATTTTTAGAGGCATTTTTAAATGCAAAGTTGTGATTGCTTACAAGTCAGTGTGACTGAGGATGGAAAGTAGGGGCCTTGCCAAGAATGGCGTCAAGCATCGGCCTTAGATTTCTGGGTGTGGGCAGGGAAGCCATAGAGAATGACTGGTGTGGAGTTACATGACCAGTCTTCCGAAGGAAGGACAGCTTCTTAAGAACTCTGGGGAGCAAAGCCATCATCCGTGGCCTGTGGAGCACAGCTTCTCGGCATTTGGTTCACACGCCGCTGGAGACCCGCACAGAGCTGCCCAGGAGGTTGTGGACAAATCCAAAAAGTTCTGTGCTTAGTGGCTAATGCCGTCGTGCTCAGGTTGATGCAAGGCTACGTAGTCTCCGCGTAGGTAGATGGTTGACATGGTCAGCTCCCTGGAAGTTTGAGCCCACCAGAGGAACCTCGGAATAAAGGTGTGGCTGTCTGCTTCATAAAATCTAGCCATTGACACCCCTGTAGGATGCAAGTCTATTCTGACATACGTGGAGTTGTCATACATCAGAAGCATCCTGAGTGTGTGTGTGTGTGTGTGTGTGTGTGTGTGTGTGTGTGTGTGTAGAGCCTTTGAGGGGTGGGAGGTTAGGGTTGAAACGGTTTACTGAGTAGGTTATAGAGACGAACAGTCGCATTTTAAACTGAAATAGCAAGTGTGTGAAGTTCACTGAGCCTTCAGACAGCGTGGTCCACAGTCAGCTGGTTGTGCTATTTGGGGAAGGGTGCTTTGTTGTCAGTTCATCGTCAGTGTCGCCTGGAGTGTCACCTTGCTAGGGTTGGTCCACGGCTGCGATTCTTTCTCGCTGCAAATTGGCGTTGGGTTTCCTAATAACCAGTTCAGCTCCTTAGAGATCCGTGTCCATGCTCAGTTTTATGGATGTTAAGCTTATGCATAGCTGTGCCTGCTTCCTGTGGCCCTTCTGCCGATGTGAGCGTAGGAGGTACAGGTTAGGCTCCTGGCTGCGAGGGAGAAAGAGGAGGCTTTCGGCTCCCATCAAGATGTACAGCCTCAGACGCCCACAGGGGCAGGGATGAGTCAGTTTGCTCCACAGCAGTGAGTTTTGGAATGAACTGCAGTGGTGTAGTGGTTACAAGCTTGGCTGATAACCACAAGGCCAGCAGGTCAAAACTACCATTTGCTCCTTGGGAGAAAAATGAGGCTTTCGTCTACTCCCATAAAAAAATCCGTCTTGGGAAGGGGGACCCAATCATGAACAACAAATGTGGGTGAAGGGAGACGGCAGACGGTGTAAGATAGGAAAACAATAATAATTTAAAATTATCAAGGGTTCACAAAGGTGGGGGAGGGAGGGAGGGAGGGAGGGAAGGAAAAAGCTGACACCCAGAAGCTCAAATAGAAAGAAAATGTTTTGAAAATGATGATTGCAAAATATGTACAAATGTGCTTGATAAAATTGATGTATGGATTGTTATAAGAGCGCCCAATAAAATTATATATTAAAAAAAATTTAGGCTCAGAAACCGACAGTGGCAGTTCTACCCTGTCTCATAGAGTCGCTGTGCTGGCCGTGAGGTTTTTTCTTTTTAATGACTCCCATCAAATAAGTGAGTGGGACTTTGCAAAGTGAACGGCTTATGGCCCACCATGGGGAATGGATAGCTTGCTAACAATGTCAATACGGTGCTTGGCGCCCTACCGTAGAGACTGGTGTATGTTGCCACCCCAGGAAGCTTGCTAGTAGAGTGGGGTGCCTCCAGGTACTTGGTGGCACTAGAGCTAAAGGCCTTTGAGCCCAGGCTAACGGGTGGAGTACAGTGGCTCTGGACAGAGCTCCAAGGGCTTTATAACACTTAGCCAAGCAGGGCAGATGCTAAGAAGCCATGTAGCTGTGAAGCCAAGGCCCAAGAAAGGCATGCCCGTGGACACTGCTGGGAAGAAGCTGCCCTAATCAAGGAACCTGTGTCTGGAGGCACAGTTAGAACCTGTTATTTCCCCAGTAAACCCCACACTCGTGGGTACTGTCTGAGCCACTGCAAGGAATGACTGAGCCCAGCAGAGCAGTAAGAATGCATGGGCAGAAGAGTTGGTGTTAGAGCAGGTAAAAGGGGTGAGGTGTGGCGAAGGCATGTCCGACCTCTACCCCATGAGAATCCGCCCTGGACTGTGGCTTATGAAGCTGTCGGAGGTCAATGGCCACCCCCATGCCGTTAGTACCGTATGAGTTGCTGTGCGAGGTTGAGGTGCGTTTAGTGAGCAGGCAGGTAGCAGCACAAATTTGCAGTTCCTAGTAGAATGTGGGGTAATTAACATATAAGAGAAGAGTGACTAGAAGCCAAGGGAACGTCTTTCCAGGAGAGAGGGGTCACCTGGCCAGGCACTGTTGATAAAGTAAAATGAGTACTGACCAGTGTGATGGCCCTGACAAGAACTTTGCCAGTAACATTGGGGTCCGAAAGTGCCTCGTTCAAGAGGATTCCAAAGGATGGGAGGGAAAGTCCATACAAGGCTTCTGAGGAAAGGGGCCCTCTCTCCCACCTCTGAGGGGGCTTCGCTGCAGGGGGAACAGAGAAAATAGGTGAAGACAGAGCACAGGCAGTTCACCTGACAACGTGGTTCTCAACCCTAGTTTCGCATCTGGACCCTTTATACGTTCCTGGTGCTTGGCTTAGTGTGTGTGTTTTCTGACAGCTTCTCTGTGTGCCTCCTGTGGCTTGAGGTGGTATGAGGAGGTGGCAGTATCGAGTGCCGATGGAACTGTCCTCACTCCTGTATCTGGTTTCTTACTGTTTTCAACAAGAAGGGACATGATCTTCGGAAGGTGAAGAGAGAGGAACGGTGCTGGAGGAGGTGTTCAGTGAGGAGGTGCCTTGCCCTGGACAGGGGAGACAGATGCATCAGGGAAATACTAGTTGGCCAGCCCCCACTTAGGACTCACTTTGAAGCTCACTTAGAAGCTCACTTAAATGTGACCCAAGATGTTTTCTTCCAGCTTGGGTACAGGTGCAAGTAGGTAAGAGTTGGATTTCCCGGGGTTGAGGTTTTGCCCTTAGAGAGCAAGGAAGTTGAAGGGTTTCACAAGGGTGTGATTCTATGAAGCAAGGGTGTGAGCCAGGCAGGGAAGATTGGAAGGAGGAGCAGCGATGGTCAACGAAAAGGGAATGGGATCGATGGGTGATAAGCCCTGCCCAAAGAATTGTGGAGTTTGGAAGGAAGACAGTGAGGCTTTGGATAAATGGATTCTCAGGGATGACCTTGGAAGAGGCTGGGAGGGTGCAAAAGGATTAGAACGAGGAGGTGAGAATTGTGAGGGATACTGAAGTCAAGGTTCTTGACATGCTGAGGAATCATGCTTCTGGAGAAGCAGCAGCGTGCAGACTGGTCTGTGGGTAGAAGGATTGCTGTCCCAGGGCATGGGCGCCAGGATTGCTGAAGCTTTTAGAAAGCAGGTGGAGAACTGCAGTGTACAAGAAGCAAGGTGAAGAAGGGGCGACCTCTGGGCGGCTCAGTGGTGTGTGTGGGGAGGAGCTCTTCCTGGAGAGGACTGCTCCTGGGAGGAGATTTGGCTATGCGGAGGGCTGGGTGGGGGGCTTAGCTTAGGGAGCATGCCGAGCTGTGAAGGGGTGAGAAGAATCTGAGGGGTGCAGGAAGTTTGCGAACCCAAACACCGGTGCTTAGAGCCTACTCAGCCTAACCATTTACAGTCTCAGACACCCTAAGGAGCAGGCTCTACTCTGCACCGGAGGCTGGCTGTGAGTCAGTCAGCATACACTCGGTGGTGATGGGTTAGTGGGTAGGAGAGCCACGGAAGAAGTCCTGGCAGTCTGCTTCCATGAAAATTACAGCCAAGAAAACCCAGGAGCAGTTCCCTGTAATGCATGGAGTCGCCATTAGTCTGGGGCCAACTCAGTGGCAGCTAATCACCTGAAGGGCTCGAAGTCCCACAGAGGAGAAATAACCAGGGGCACCCAGCTTGGAGGTGCTTGAAGCAAATAGGGAAAAGGCCAGGGTTTCTCCTGCTGGTAGCGAGCTCCTTAAAGAGACTAAAGGAATTCAGAAATTGTAAAATATGTAATATGTAAATTTACAGTTTACATGTAAATATGTAAAATTACAGTTTGTGCTTCTAAAGAATATTTAATGACAGGGCAAAATCATTGTACTGTGCTTAAAATGGACGGAGTACAGGCTCTCATGTTCCATACATACAATCCCAAGTACTGGCTTTAGTGTGTGGCTGGATACATTGTTAAAAATCGTGTTATTTCTGAGAGAATATTTTTCTTCTGTATGCTTATTACAGTAAAAATGACTGATATGTATAACTCCACAAAGGAGGAATATAAAATTTGAGGATAGCAAAATAACAATGATGACATCTTTGAGCAGTCTTTGCCCATGTTTCAAATTATTCGTTCTGATGGTTCCTAGGTTGTGATGGCGTCTCAGTTGATTACGTCAAAGGGAGTTAATACCGTAAAGTCAGACCTCAGATGTGGCACAGCTTTGGTTTCTCTACGTGCAGAACGAAGGTCTTCTCCGGGTACCGCAGGAGAGAAGCTGCGGCTATTTGACCCCGAGCAGGGAGGTTATTGGTCCCTAGGACTGTCATTGGGTTAGGGGTCGGAAGCACACACTCCTCTAGGGGAGTAGGGAGCTCTCTGGAGTGTATTTCATGTGTGATGTGTGCTCCTGTCGCATAATGCATTGCTTATCTCTGTTCCTTTCTCTTTAGAAAGCTACGTCCATATTGGAATTTTACCAAGAACTTGGATTACCGCCAAAACAGAAAATTAAAATCTTTCGTGTGACAGATAACGCTGTAATTAAGCCAGGTAATCTGAGGTCAGGGAGAGGAGGGAGGTAAAAATACCCAAATCTGTGATTTGTTTAAATGTCAGCCCTTTCAATAAAGCTGAATCCAAAGTACAAAAGCCCAAACACTTATTTTTAAATATAAAACTGTATCTGATTTAATCACTAGGGACAAACAAGTCTTTTTTGTTTTAAGTGGAGAAAGCTGGAGAGAACACTTTGTTTTCCGCACAAGAGGGAGGAGCACTCTTGTTTTTAATGTAGAGAGAGTTTTGTGTTTGGTTAAGTCATTCCAGATAAATAGTCTAACTTTTACAACGCGCAGTTCACTGTTTGCAAGCTGGGAATATTTAGGCTTTTGCTTAGAAGAGCTTGAGAAAAGAGAACCTGCAAAGAAAAAGTAGCTGACAGCAGCCCATCATTGTAAAGGTTCTTATGTTCAAGCCCCGAATACCTTGTCCATAGAAGATCAAAATGAGAGATTTGGCGTTGGTTACATAGCTGACAGAGTGCAGCATTGCAACATTTGTGAACATCAAAGAGGCTTCCTAATCTCGTGAACCTTGTGGTCTAACAAGAAGAGTTGGATGGACTTTTTAAGATTTGCTATTTAAATATCTCAACCCAGTTTCTTGACATAAAATACAGCTGCGAGGGACACTGTGAGTCAGCATTCACTTGAAGACAGTGAGTTGGGTTTTTTTTTGTCTGTCGATTGTTTTATTACTTGAGATGGCAGAGGGTCATTGTTCATATAAGCTAGCATTAAAATTATTTTTTGAAGTGCAGGTTTTGTAACAACGTAGATGAAATTAAACGGAATATAAAATTTTGTAGAAGACCAGGAATCATTATATAATAGATTGATTTATAATGGGCATATTCAACTTTAAATATAAAAAGGACTATTTGTGCTGTGCATGGTAAAATAGAAAGTCTGTCCTTGGTATTGTTGAAATATCAAACTTTTCGCAAACCCTTTATTTATGTTTAGGTTAGGGTTTGAAGATTGATTCTGCATTAACTTGCTATTTAAAGAATATCTACTTGCTACCTTGAGCACAGTGCTGTCTATGATAGGGTAACATCTGCATATAAGGAAATCCAGTCAGTAGAACTATTATTCAGATTTATGCACCAACCCCTAAAGCTAGTGATGCAGAAATTGAAGAAATCTACCACTGTCTTCAGCCTGAAATCGATTGAACATGTCATCAAGATGCATTGATGATTGTTGACGGTTGGAATGTGAAAGTTGGAAACAAAGACAAAGGACCAGTAGCTAGAAAATATGGTCTTGGCACTAGCAACCAAGCTGGAGAGTACGTAATAGAATTTTACAAGACCAAAGGCTTGTTTTCATACCAAATGACTTTTTCAACAACACAAAAGGTGACTCTACACATGGATTTCCCCAGATGGAATTCATAGACGTCAAATTGATTACATCTGTGGGAAGAGAAGATGGAAAAGTTCAATGTCAGCAGCTAAAACCTGGCCAGAGGTCGACTGCAAAGCAGACCAACGATCTGTAAATTCAGGTAGAAATTGAAGGAAATGAAAACAAGTCCACAGGAGGCAAAAGACAACCTTGAGTCTATCCCACTCAAAATTTGAGAACATCTCCAGAACAGAATTGATGCATTAAGGACAGAAGACCTGCTGAGCCGTGGAATGACCTCCAGAGCATCATTCATGAAGAAAGCAAAAGGTCATTAAAAAGACAGGAAAAAGAAACCGTCAAAGTGGATGTCAGAAGAGACTCCGGAACTTGTTCTTTATTGTAAAGTAGCGAAGTCAATGGGAAGAAATGATGAATTTACAGACCTGGACAGAAAATTTCAAAGACAGCTTGAGAAGACAAAGTAAAATGTAATAAAATGTACAAAGACTTAGAGTTAAAACACCAAAAGAGAAGAACATGCTAAACATATAAACTAAAAGAACTGAAAAAAATTTGAGCCATGACAAAATATTGAAAGATTCAGTGGAAAAAATATTAAATGATATAGAAAACTTCAAAAGAGGAATGAAAGACAAGTGGCCATCTAACTGAGAAATAACAAAGCCCACATGGAAGAAGCACATCAGCCTCTGAGATCACAAGGCATCAAAGGGTTCAGGTATCAGGCATCAAAGACCAAACAAAATCATAGCATTGTGAATGGTGGGGAGTGGGGACCCAGGCCCATCTGTGGGAAATGGGACATCCCCTTGCAGAAGGGCCAAGGGGAGGAGATAAGCCAGTCAATGTACAGTACGGCAATGATGAAGCATGCAATTCCCCTCTAGTTCTTGGATGCTCACCCCCACCCCACCCCCACCCCCCCAACCCCCGCTATCATGACCCAATTCTACCTTACAAATCCGGCTGGACCGGAAGATGTATACTGATACAGATAGGAACTGGAAACACAGGGAATTCAGGACAGATGAACCCCTCAGGACCAGTGGTGAGAGTGGCAATACTGGGAGGGTGGAGGGAAGGTGAGGGAGAAAGGGGGGAACAGATTACAAGGGTCTACATATAACCTCCCTGGGGGACAGACAGCGGAGAAGTGGGTGAAGGGCAACATAGGACGATGTAAGATATGGAAAAATAATTATAAATTATCAAGGGCTCATGGGGGAGGAGGGAGCATGGAGGGAGGGGAAAAATGAGGAGCTGATACCAAGGGCTCAAGTAGAGAGCAAATGTTTTGAGAATGATGAGGGAAACAGATGTACAAATGTGCTTGACACAGTGGATGGATGGATGGACTGTGACAAGAGTTGTACGAGCCCACAATAAAAGGATTAAAAAAAAAAAGATGGAAAGAATACACAGTTACTGCCCCAAAAGAACTAGTTAATATGCAACCACTTCAAAAGGTAGCATATGAGCAAGAACCAGTGCTACTGAAGAAAAAAGTTTAAGCTGCCCTGAAAGCATTAGCCAAAAACAAGACGCCAGGAATTGTTGGAATACGAGTTGAAATGTGTCCACAAGCAGATGAAGCACTGGAAGCACTCACTCTTCCATCTGTGCCAAGAAGTTTGAAAGGTAGGTTCTTGGCCAGCTAACTGAAGAGAGCCATATTTTATAGTACCCATTCCAAAGAAAGGTGACCCAACAATGCACAAATTATAAAACAATGTCCTGATATCACATGCAAGTAAAATTTTGCTGAAGGTCATTGTAACAACAGTTGCAGCAGTACATTGACAGGGCCGCCAGAAGTTTGAACTGGATTCAGAAGATCACCTAAAACAAGGGATATCATTGCTGCTATCAGATGGATCTTGACAGAAAACAATACTAAAAGGATGTTTGCTTGTGTTTCATTGTGCAAAGGTATTTGACTGTGTGGATCATAACAGATTCTAGTTTTGAGAGGAACAAGAATTCCAGAACACTGCATTGTGTTCATGTGGAACTTGTACATGGATCAAGAGGCAGTTGTGCAAACAGAAAATGGTTCCAAATCAGGACAGGTGTGGGTTAGGGTTGTATCCTTGCACCATACCTATTCAGTCTGCATGCCGAGCAAATGAAGAAGTTGGAGGACATACAGAAGAACGGGCATCAGGATGAAAGGAAGACTGGTGCACATAACCCAACCCTGCTTGCGGAAACTGAGGACTGGAAGCACTTGCTGTTGCGCATCAAGGGTGGCACCTTCTGTAGGGATTATAGCTCAATGTAAACAAAAACCCTCACGGTTGGGCTAGTAGATGACGTCATGATAAATAAAGGAAAGGTTGTAGTAACAAGGATTTTGTCTTGCTTGGATCCAAAATCAGTGCTCATGGAAGCATTAGTCAAGAGATCAAAGGATGTGTTGCACTGGGTAAATCTGTAGCCTGAGACCTCTTTAAATGTCGAAAAGCCAGGATGTTACTTTGAGGACTAAGGGATGCCTGCACGAGCCCATGGTATTTTCACTTGCCTCAACTACATGTGAAAGTTGGACATTGAATAAAAAGGATTGAAGCAAAATCAATACCTTTGTGCTTGGGGGTGGGGGGGAATATTGAAATTACCAGGGACTGCCAAAAGAACAAAGGATCTGTCTTGGAATAAGACTGGCCAGAATGTTCCTTAGAGGCAAGGATAGTGAGACTTTGTCTCACCTACTTTAGACATACCGTCAAGAAAGACCAGTCCCTGGAGAAGGACATCATGCTTGGAAAAGTAGAGGGGCAGCGAAAGAGGAAGACCGGCCTGCGTGAAACAAAGCACCCATCTTTCACTGCCCTTCTCTCGAGTGTGGGTTACTGTTTGTTGCTTCAAAAGCTCTGATTTGATGAGATAAATTGTTAATGTTGCTTTTTCACTTTAGTTTCTAGAGGTCAGAGCCATGTCTTGACATTTTTGTATATTTATTGTAAATGCCTGAGAAATGTTTAATTGCCAAAATAAATTGTTCTTATAAATGTTATTAATTCAGAATTTATAAGGACAGACTGTTGAATAATGTTGGGTTCATCATAGAAATTTTTCAAATAACATTTTTTCATGTACATTTAAATCCGCAGTTCTCAACCTGTTGGTCACAACCCCTTTGGGGGTCGAACGACCCTTTTACAGGGGTGGCCCAATTCATAACAGTAGCAAAATTATAGTTATGAAGTAGCAACCAAAGTAATTTTATGGTTGGCGGTCTCCGCAACATGAGGAACTGTGTTAAAGGGTTGCAGCTTTAGGAAGGTTGAGAACCGCTGATTTAAGGGGAAATGTGATTTGTGTACAACTTAAATGTTGGGAACATTGCTGTGTAAAGATTTCAGGCAGCCAGAGTGGCAGTGTGCTACTACTCAGACCTTTGGGGCCGTCCTGGGAGGACTGGCCGGGCACAGAACCGGCCTGCCCGCCATGGACTGTGCACGGGCTTTCTCTGCTTGTCAGGTGTGCCGTAATCACTTCCTGTGTCTGAGGGATGTGCACGCAGGGAAGTCTCTCGCGTTTGGATGACTGTGGTTAAGGGCCGAGGAAAGCTGGTATTCAGCCCCAGCCTTTCTTGAGTCATTCTCGTAGTTTTGTTTCCTTCTCGAGCTGGGAAACCAAATTCAGTCTCTTGTTAGTCACCAAATGACCTGGTGCGCTCACCAGTGAGTGAGATCGCTGTGCGTCCCAGGAGTCGCTCTCTTCCGCAAGCCCCAGGCTGATCCCCAGCCTGTCAGTCAGCTATGGTCTGGTGGCCCATGCCAGCACCACATGTCATTTTCTGAGACTAGGCCACCTTGTTCTTTGACCCACACATAGACGATTTTCAAAACACGTTTGTTGAGCAACTGAATTGTTTTATTTCTAATATTACACTTGCAGAAGTCAGTCTGTCGTTCTTGCTAGAAGCCCTTCTGGAAGTAGTTTATTTAGTCACGCTGTTTTTGAGCTGTCAGACTTCACAGCGCTTCTCCTTGTTCACGCAGGCACGCCTCTGTACGCTGCACACTTTCGGCCCGGACAGTATGTGGATGTCACAGCCAAAACGTAGGTCTGCGTAGCACATTTTCCTCTGTTTATTCTCGGTATATATTAATGAATAACAACGAGTGGGAGGTATAGTCTTTTAACTCATTAAATAAAGAATAAGTTACTGTTACTCATCATAATTCTAATTTTTTCTTTTACTCTCTGGTTTTTTAAATTGTACCGAGTTATATATGAAGAGTTCATACTGTGTTACAGCTTTAAGCTGAGCTGTGTGCTTCCTAAACTGGAGCTGAGAGATTGGTCACACTGCTCATGTTCTGTTAGCGTGGGCCCCACGTCCAAAGACCGCAGTTGCGTTCTGATGTGAACATGCATGAGCAGTGCTGCTGGAGATCTTTGTGAGGTTAATGTGTCCTCTAGTAATTGGCTCTTCTTTCCAGTTCTGTGTCTGACGGTGGTTGCTGACTTTTCCTGTGCCCCCAAATAGTATAAAACATTTCGTATTGGTGTTAAAAACTTGTCAAATGCTAAAGGGAGAAATATTAACCCACAGTATTGGGTAAGTGAGACTTCAGTAAAAGCAGAATATATGTATTGTTTTAATCCCTAAAGGTTCACTTGAGTAGAAATGAACATCTAATTGCTGTGAAATGAAATGCTGATTTTGAGTCATCGTCAGACTCGGCCTGATACGTTTTCATATAGTTTACTCGGGAATGAGTCAACCAAGCCCTTATGCAAGAAAAGGCTTCAAAGGGTTGTGTGGAAATTCCATTATCTTCCTTTCATTTTCCACACATTGTGCAGGCTTTCCTCCCCCGTCATGTGTTTATGTGGAAAGTATTGGGTGCAGCTTATTGAAAGCACCTGGCCCAGACGGACCAGCGCTCCAAGGACCTGCTCTTAGTCAGCCTGCAGCCGTTCAGTTCTGTCTGGGTCTCGGTTTTCTCTCTGGGGTCACATGATGATGTCTGCAGCCTCCGTCGTCGCAGGGGTCTTCTGCTTTCCGAACATTGGTCTACGGTGCTCGGCAGGGGCGGGGGTGGGGGGTGGGGGGTGGGGGGTGGTGGTGGTGGTGTTGTCTGGTGATCCCATTGAGTGAATCAGAGCAACTCTTATCCCAGGGAACCGGATGAGTGCCCGCTTCAGTTTCCTTCACACAGCCAACACGCCCCTCGTTTCCATGCTGTTTAGCTCCTGGTTTCAAATATGGGCCATTGCAAACAGCTGCTGTGTGCCTTTGCCTTGGGAAGCTGTTTAGAAAAGAAGTGTGATAGATGGAAGTAAGCCCGTGGTTCTTTTTAAGGAGATTGTGAAAGGCCTCTTCCCTCCCTCCCCCTACTTATTAGTTTTGGGGATTCATCCCTAGTTACTGGGGCCCCTAAAATCATGGTGTCTTAATAACTGTGTCCTGCCTTCCTGTGTCAGGAACTCAGTATATTTGAGCTGTAAAACTTTGATTTGGTTATTTGGGAAGATGTGTGCATACGTGTTGTGGATCAGGTTATTTTCCTTTTAACATTTGAATTACTCTTAAGAGATAACTGTGAGGTCATTAATTTGCACACAGTTAACAATGGGGAATTCCATTACTATTTCTGCAGGCTGCCCTGCTATTCTCAAAAGCCAACCATTGTCAGACACCCGGTTGTCTAACTTGGATTAGAGCAGTGGTTCTCAACCTTTCTAATGCTGTGGCCCTTTAATACAGTTCCTCATGTTGTGGTGACCCCAACCATAAAATTATTTATGCTACTTCATAACTGTCATTGTGCTACTGTTATGGATCGGGCGACCCCTGTGAAAGGGTCTTTCAACCCCCAAAGGGGTCGCGACCCACAGGTTAAGAGCCACAGCCCTGTGTTCTGCTCTACAAGTGCTTTCATCTAGTAGGTGCTCAGTTCCCTAGACTTCAAATGAAAGCGAATTTCTTTCTTTTTAATGGCCTTTTCCCAGGAAACAAGATTGCATAAAGCTGTATGCATTACTCCAGACTAGATAGCTAAGAAGAGCTAGAAGGATAACGCGCCCTGGGACTGGCGTAGTGGCATTGGACTGTGAAGCAGGGAAGACGACCGGTTGGGGAGCTCCCCAGTATTGTGCGGGCTGCAGCACGGTGTTCTGTCTGACTCTCCCCATTCAGCAGTGTGTTCCCTCTCTGTGGGCCCTGGACCCAGTGTGCTTATTGTTACGTGATGTTTATTATCCGAGACCAGAACAAATTGGATTTGTTTTGACCTTTTGCCAAGAATCTTCAACTTTTTCTTGAAGTTGGCGTGCTATTCAGGCCTCAGGACGTGTGCAGGACTAGTAAGTACATAGGACCAGTAAGTACATAGGACCAGTAAGTACATAGGACTAGTCCCGCTTTTTGGCGCATCGTTCTGAATACCTTCCGGGTGCAGCATTGGGTCTTTAGCTGCTTCTGGTTCTGGTTGCTGCTCCTCTTCTCTTTGCAGCTGCCTCCCCTGGTTGTAAGGAACCCCGATGGAGCTAGGGGTTAAGCAATGGACTGCTAACTGCAAGGTCGGCTGATCAAATGCACCAGCTACTCCTTGGGGGAAAGAAGAGGCAGGGCTACTGGAAAGTCATGCAGTCTGAAATTTCAAGGATCAGCTCTGCTCGGTCCAATGTGGGGCGCTCTGAGTCGGAATTGACTCGATGGCACTGGGTTTGGTTTGGTTGAGCCCTGGATTATGGGGAGTGTGCACAAATTTGCACACAGATATACTTGCCTTTAGAATTTTAAACTCTTCTTGCCATCGTTCTGTGACGTGTCCCCCATTTCGGACAGCTGGGCTTTTAAGTTGGAGTTTAAGTCCTTCATAGCTAACGAGAATGTTGATCAGAACTCTCACTGCCGCCTTTATTTTCAGCCCGTTTCAAAATTTGAAACTGGTTTCACCTTCCCTGTTGCAGACAGAAGCACTAGCAGGAAAAGTAAAATTGCACAATGACAAGGCTGGAGCAGTTGGTTTTTCACGTTTGTATGTGTTTCAGAAATACTGGGTCTCACCCCCACATGGTCTAATTCAGTGGATCTGGGGTTGATGTTGTGTTGTCTGTTACGACTCAGTAACCCTGCAGGAAGGCAGAAAGTGCCTCACGGGGTCTCTAAGGCTGTCAAGCTTGACAGAAGCAGACTCCCCCTTCCTTTTCCTGCCGGACATCTGGTGCATTCAAACCACCAATCTTTCAGTTCGTGGGCCACTCGACTCAGAGCTGGCGTCTGGTCTTGAGAATTTGCATTCCTCACCACTTCTCAGGTGCCGTGGATGCCGTTCACCAGGCACCACATACTAGACCCCCAGTACGGGATGCCAGCCAAAAAGGAGCTCACTAGACTCCCATTTATTTTCTTCCCTAATCCTTTACCCACCTCAGAATTCTAGATCCTTCCTTTCCTTAACTCCACTGAAGTTCCAGCAGAAGCATCTGTATTTAAGCAAGTTTAACTAAACCAGTTTCAAATAGCATTGGCAATTTTTACTCAATATGGTTGGCCTAAAACTGAAGATCGGCTTCTTTAGTAATGTGCTTCATTATCTCATTTCCATTAGAAAAGAGTAAAGTCTCAAATTAATCTCTAATTTAAATTCTCCGTTTTCTTCACATTGTAATCATTCTAATTGTTCATATGTACTTCTTTTTTGAGCATTTCAACTTTTTGTACCTTAGAGCTTCAATTTTAATTGCTGGATTAAGCCTACTTTAGAAATAACTATATAAAATAAGAGAAAGAAATAAAGAAAAGGTGCCATTTAAGAAAATACAGTGTTTGTAGTCTTAAGTATCGGTGACTAACAGTAGCAACCTCCTGAAGATTTCCATAAAGTTTTAAAATGCCCTTTTAAATTATTGCAATTGGTAATTTCCTTATACTGAAAGATACATTGTGTTTATTTGAATTGAGGGTATAATACTCTGTAAAAATGGACAGATTTATGTGTGTCCGTTTTGAGGTGTAAGTTAGCTATATATTTACCAGATTTAATTTTACATTTCAATCAAAAATAAATTTTTTCCCTATAAGGTCTTAGGATACAAATTCTATTTAGATTGTATGGGAGAGATTCTTACATCTTATATATAAAGCCTTCCAAAGCAAAATAATTTTTTATAGTTTTCTTTTTCTATTAATAGCTAATAAAGCCCAGTCTTTGAAATATGAGCAAACCAAACTGAACCTACTGCTCTTGAGCCCTTTCCACTTACCCAGTAGCGTCACCTGGACTGCTCAGCCATAGCAGGGGAGGCTGACCCTGCACCATTGGTTTCTTCATCTTTACGCCTCTAGCCCCGGGTTTTATTAGATGTAGAAAGGTGAATTAGTGCATTGTGTAACATGTGGATGAAGTGCCAATAAAACTGTTAAAACATATATAGAGAGAGAAATACCACCTGATCTGGGCCTATTCAGAGAAGGCAAGAGTCCCCTCAGAATAGAACCCAGTTATTGGTTTTCTGGGAGATTATATACAAGTCACTTAACCTTCTTATGGTATGAAGGTGGTATTTAAAAAAGTTTGAACTTTTAATTTGGAAGTGTTCTGATTGAAAAATCTCTACTTACAGATTTTTTTTTTTTCATACAGAAAACCGGTCACTTTGCAGATGATGTAACACGTAGTGATAAATGCTCTTAGTTCTTTTTCATGGCGGTCACAGAAAGTATAAAGGGAAGGGTGTTTGGGGCAAGAAGGGCAGAGAGGTCAAGGGCATCAAAGGGCCAAGTTGGGGATTGCTATGATGAGGACCTGTGGTGGACACAACTCTCTGGTAGGCGGTGAGTAAAAGCCGAGCTGGACCTGCTTGCAGAAGACTTTGCCCGTCTTAGACTAAAGACGTCGGCAGGGAACCGTCCTAGGTTGTGGGTTGGTTGCTTTTGTTTTGTATGTAAAGCCGAGGAGGGGTTTGTGTGACCCGATGAACGATGATCGGTTTGCAGCTTTTGCTCTAGTAGCGTGAGGAGGTTAGTATAAAGAGACGAAGATAATCGCTATGTTTTAGAAACTACGAGTGCCTGGAGCTGTTGTGATTGTTATATGGTCAGCGCTTCTATGGATTGGGAGAGAGAAGATTTACCAGCAAGAATTCAGATTTGTAAATGAGGGTTTGTGGGATTGGCAGCCGTTTTCTCCATAGTCACTACTCAACCCTGCCACCATCGCTGTAAGTTTAGCAGGTGGTAGGTAAATGGACCTATGAGGGCCAGTCAGAAAGTATCGCTCCGAGGGCTCCAGTTCCTGTGTGTGAGGGCTCATTCCAAACAGAAGGTGTTTGAGCACGTTTCTACCATCAACGGACGGCTGCAGGCGCGTTCTCTCAGGAGCACACTTGTCTTGGTCTCGGTGCTTTCAGAAGCAATCCAGTCTGAACAGTGGCTTCCAAGGGCACCTGCCCAGCAGGTTTTGCCAACTGTTTCTGGGGTTCCCGGAGAGCTAATATTGGAGTTCCTCCTGGGATGATCAGAGGCACTTCTTGGGAAGACGTTTTAAGAAAACTGAAGAGTGCATTGGTGAGAAAAAGGCTAGGAAAGTTGTGCCTAGGAGTTTTTTCCCCTTCATCGTACATGGTCGCGTTCTTTGAGAACCTGTCTGATGATGACTTTGTTTGGAAACCCTACCACATGGAGTCCTGATCTTGCTCCCTCAGGCTTCTTTTAGTTCCTAAAATGAAAAACAAAAACACGATTTGATCCTCTGAAAGGATAGCAAAAGCGTCATTCTGATGTGGTATAAATCAGAGTGCACACATCTCGGGGAGGGGTGGGGGGATGGAAACACCACCGTCAGAAGTATGTCGACCCCGTTGGAGGATGTGCTGTCTGTGATGTTTCAACAGCACTTCTGGGCTAACCCTGGTGCAAGATACATAGCATTCATCGAACCTGGAGTCTCTGCTTTTGAGTATATTTTAAAACCTCCATGATAAACTTCAATCTTTAAAACCTTACTAATTAAAAATGACTTTAGTAAAAGACTTTGGATTGGGGGACTAAGGGGATAGCAGCAGAGCAAGTTCCAGAGAGCCGTGGGACAGTATACTTTAATGCAGTGGACATGATGGGGCAGAACTCCAGCCCCGCGAGTGCCTTAGTGGGGACGGTGGTGCGAGGTTGGAGAGAGCCAGAAAGGGGGCTCCCCGAGGTGATGGGGGTGTTGAGAAAGTGCTCAGAGGACTCAGAATGGATAGACCCCAGAGAACGGGGTCTCATCACAAACACTTTGCTTTGTCCCCCAGACATCTGTATACAGAATCAGGCAGTGAGATGGCTCCCCATGGAAGGGGGAGATACACAGCAGGTAGGTTTCGTATTACACCCTGAGTGCTGCTGGTGGCATTTGGGTGCTTGTCACAGTATGCTAGGGGCTGAAATCTATTATGAGCGGAAATCTCTCTTATGTATTCCTGCTGCAAGAGTCTTAGTTTTCGTGCCTTCTCCAGATTATCCACCACCCCCCACTTAATACCATCTTTTTTTTTTTTAATGTAAGAAGGTGAAGTCTTTCGAGCGCGCCCCCCCCACTTGAAACGAACTGGAGAGCAGGGTGAAGGCAGCAGGCTTAGCCGGGAACAAGGGCTGTGCTGGCTGCTTCTGACGGCCAAAGCCCCTGCCCTGCGTGTGGCGGGCGAAGGCTGAGGAACAAGGGCTAGAGCAATGCGGCCTCCCCAACTTCAGTGGCACCTCGGGGTTCGTGGGGTGCGTTTGGTTGAACTTGTTAAAGGCCCTCAGTAAAATGTGTTGTTCCGTATGTCTCTAGGTCTCAGACGCCGCGCTCAATGTGGTGTTTCTCACACTGTTCTTTCTGATGTGAGTTGTCCTTTCTTTGCCTCCCCTCCTGTCAGGACTGAAAGCGGCAGTGGACAGGGTGAGGGAGCAGAGCCTTGTGCTCCACGTGTTGTGTATCACTTTTAATCAAGCGCAGCTCTTTATTTTCTGTGACCTGTGAAAGCCTTGCATTTGAAATGTGCCCGGGGGTGCTAAGTATAGAGGCGAGCACTTCTTGTTTTTGTCCCGCCTTTGTTCCCGGCTTACAGAGCAGTAGAATAGATACCTGTGCCACCCGTGGATCAACAGGTGCATGCTATTGTCTGAATTAAGCCAATAATTTGTCCTGTCATTTGTGTTTTATCCTTTTGTTTAAAGGTTATTTACTGAAGAGGTTCCCATTGTACACATTGTAACAACATGATGTATTTTAGAGCTAGATTGAAAAACAGTCTGTAATTAGTCGACAGATAATTAGCACTTTCAGGATACCACTTTCATCTTATAATCGTTTACTCTTACAATGAGCTAAATTATCTTCTGTAATTTACCTGGCATGTGTTTTATTGGTGCGCCCGCTAGCTGGCTCTCTTTTTAAGCACAGATGAAATGGTGGGAGAGCTCGGAAGGGATCAGTCAACTTTCTACCAAGGACGGCCAGGGTGAGCACTGTCGCGGTGTTCACACAGGCTGTCGGGGTCCGATCAGCACGTCGGTGCCCCACCTCCTTCTCTCAAAAGTGGCGTCACCACAGCAGCCTCATAAGTGTACATGACGCCCTTGTTCTTAAATTCCCAACCGTGTGTATTATTTTTGAAATATGTTCTAAGATTCCATGTTAGGAGGAAATATTTGTACGTTTCTGAACTAAAATTCCAGTGTTTGACTGGGGGGCCCTGTCTGCCTTTCAACCTGTACGTGGATCCTATGCCGCTGTTATTTTCAACGTTTAATTGGTTGTCTCGAATTCTTGATTTATCTAAAGTAGTATTACTCGGAGGGGCTTCCTTTAATCCATTGTTTTCTAATCACTCTTTGTTAAGTGGGAAAAATAGGGGTTTCGCAGCCACCGTCTTGGTTTTCTTACAATACAGCTTGTTTTGTTCAAGGTCAGGAATCCTACATTTAAAATGTGTTACCATATTATCTAGTGAAAAGTGAAGATATTTTTATCTTAGAGTACATAAAAATGTGTCAAGTACAGTCTTACAATTCTTTCTAGACTTTTATTGTATCTCGGATATTAACATAGATGACATATGCAGACAAACTTTAATAATGTTTGAACATTAGTGGCGTTTACTTTCTAACTGCTTCTCGAGTCCACAGGCTCCCAAACTTAGTGGCCTGCTGGTTCCCATTTTAGGGGGTGGGCAGGGAAAGCGCCTGCTGGCAACAAAGGAGTTTTGTACGAGAGTGCAGAATCCAGGATGAAGTATGGGTGCCTGCTACCGCAGCGGATCGGTCCAGCTGCACCCTTGGGGAGTACCACTCTAGTTGGTAGAATTGGAAAATAAAGTGATTTCATTTAGAAATTAAGAGTTTCGACATTTAAGAAATAGTACTCAGACTTTATTTCTCCATCTCCGTTGGCCTCGTTCTCTGAACCTTGAGACTGAGATCATGGTGACTTCCAAAAGCAAAACGTTCGTGTTATTTAGGTGTGCTTTGTACTAATTACGTAATAGTGAATAACAGCCTAAAACATACTGGATGCGAGCAGTGAACGTCAGGTACCCTGCGTTTCTGTGGTCAGGGTTCACAGGGCCACTTTGCCTGTGCCTCTAGCTCAGCGTCTCTCAATCAAGGCGCCACTTCGGCTTAAGCCACCTCAAGGCTGGGGTGATGCTTCCAGACTCATTAATGTAGATGTGGGTGAGCTCTAGACCCTAAATTACTTTTACCTGGAGACATCCTTGCCACGTGAACCTCGTCCTAAGGCAGTGTACAGTAATTCAGTATTCCAGAGCCTGCATTGTTAAAACTCAAAGGTACTCTCAAGAAAGTGTCCAAGTGGGAATATTTGAGGCTGTGTTCATTCTGTAAATCCAAATATTTGTTTTGTTCTAGTATTGGTAAAGGTTTTCAAGGTGTCATGAAAAGATGGGGGTTTAAAGGCCAGCCTGCTACTCATGGTCAAACGAAAACCCACCGGCGACCTGGAGCCATTTCCACGGGTGTAAGTATATCGTCTTAACAGTGCTCTGTTTAACAGTGTACGTTCGTTCCTGTGCGTGAACTGGTTCAGTCTGCCCCTGGTCAAGTCGGGTCATTTCAGTCTGACTCTAGGTGGGTCCTAATGCTGAGACATTTTTTGGGATCCTAAATTACTTGTCCCTGGAGACATCTTTGCCACATGGGCCTCTTCCTAAGGCAGCGTACAGTAGCTCAGTATTTCGGAGCCTGGGGAGCAAGCAAGTACCAAGACAGAAATCAGATTCTCTGTACTGCATCTCAGAGAGTTGGCATCTTCTCTTTTTGGCCTTGAGTCAGTCACCAGCCTGGCCCAAACGCAACCAGAGGGCATGAGCGCCAGGAGGTGGGCTCGCTGTTTGATTTTTGCAGGAGTCAGACTTGCATTGCTTAGGTGCCTTCCCCTGCCCTTCTCGGTCTCCCTTCCTACACTCAGAAGTCTGCTGCAGAAGGAAGGGATTAGAACGCCCCTCCCTCTGGCCCCAGTGTTTCCTTCACAGATTTGATATTACGTAAGAGAGACAGCAGGGAGTTGAGTAAAGACACTACCATGGCGCCGGGGAAATGTGGTGGCGAAGACGTGGAGACACCCTTTCTGCGGTGCTCTGCACAGCCCGTGGGCATTTTGATCTGTTTGGGAGCGTCAGTCATTGTCAGTCATTCAGAGTCAGTCGCATGGAGGTCTCTAACAAGGCTGCATGCTCTTTGCCTTTGGACACAGCAGTCCTGCTCCTCGGGATTAACCCCGTAGGTGTTCTCTTAACGATACAAAGCATGCATTTGCACCAGTATTCGGTGTAACCGTATTTGTGGTTGCAAGCATAAATGTGGGGATAAATAATAAATAATACGTCTACTACTCAGTAGCATACTGTGCTGCTGTGAAAGAAACCAATAACCAGGCCATTGTGAAGGGCAGACATGTTCAGGCTATCAGAGAGTATCTATCCATCCGAGCATGTCTGATTGCACAGACGTTATGAGATTGGTTGCCCACAAGGATGAGTGGGAGTGACACGGAAGGGCCTAGGCATGGCAGAAGTGACACTTGTATAGCCATGCTTCTACGGCGGTTCCTACCTGTGGAGTCATGTTAATGTTTGAAATGCCTTGAATAAAATAAAAACGTAGTTAGGGGTGGGTGAAACCCAAAATGGAATATAATTAGAAATTGAACCTAACTCCCCCACTAGATTTCACGTGACTCACGTAAGCGTACAGAATGGAGGCGGGCAAGTCACTCATTGAGATCACTTTTATCTATCTTCCGTCCAGATTTCAAAGGCATCTGAGCAGTTGTTGGGTATGAGTTAAGAGGCTTCTTTTTTGCAGTGCTATAGAGGTAGCCACTCTGAAACCGCATTCTCTAAATGGTAGCGCTGAGCAGGTGAGTGAGTACATGGGCAATGAGAGCCCCGCGCTGTTGGGGGAAAGGCATTAAAATATGAAAGGGGGAATCAGATGGACCTTTGAGGGTTGAATTAAAATGATGGTTAACTGTAGGAATTTTCTGTGTGTGGGTGGAGAGAGAGAGAAGCGGGCAAGAAAGAATGTACCTGTGTGCATATGTTTGTGTTCATGTCGTAGCTCTGCCTGCTAGAAGGATCTAAAAGCGAAGACATGGCTGTAGCCGTGAGCATACCCAGAGCCCAGGTCTTTCTCCTGTCAGGTGTGAGGCAGGCAGAGCAAAAGCTACAGCACCTCGTACAAGGAAGGGTGGGTGTGCGTACAAGAGGAGGGCTTCCAAGGACACAGCCAACCTGAACAGGTTTCATGAGCCCAAACCAGACCAGTTGGCGTTTCAAAATGTATCTGTTGACAGTAACCACATTTGTGGAGGGAAGTTAGAATGCATTGGGTCACACTGATAAAAATAATGAATACACAAATAAATGAGAGAAAAGGGAAAGTTCTTCCTTGAACCACAGTGCCGGCAAAGGTGGCAGGAACCATGAGGCTGGTGGTGCATCCCTCGCTGACAGCCCTCGTGGTAATTGGTCCTGCCAGAAATCATCACTAGATGATGCTAAAACCAGTGCTAAAGCTTGATGAAGACAAGATACTTTTTAAATCTTAAAATAAGTTACCTTTTAATTACAAAAGAAAAAGTAAGAGCTTTGGAAAGGATTAACCTAGTTGAACACACCTTAATTACATGATCAAAGCTATATATCACCGGTAATGGGACAACCATTAGACTGTACTTCCTGATAGGATTCTGGGAAGGAACACGGTATGGCTTTTGTGTGTTTTGCCCAGGAATGCATTACCCGAATTTAATCATTGGGAAACACCAGACAATCCAAAGTGAGCAATATTCTACAAGATAAATAACTTGTATCCTGAAAAAAAAAAATCTATCAAGTTCATGGAGCACAAGGTAGGACTGAGGGACTGTTCCAGAATAAAGGAGGCTAATTAGGCCGGGCAACTAATAAAAAGAATGTGATTAGCATAGTTAACAAAATTAAATATAGACAGTGGATTATATAATAGTATGTTTACATTTCTGACTTGTATCATTATAGTTATGAGAATACCCTTGTTCTTAGTAAATGTACAGGTCATGGTATTTCATTTTCTGATGGTCTGAGAAAAGGTGCCCATGTATAGAGACATACAATGAATAATAAATCAAGTGAAGCAAAATATGAATCAGTGATGAACTTAAAGAGCTTGAGAATTCTTCAGGGGCGGGGGTGGGGGGGGGCGGTTGGGGCAACTTTTCTGTAAATCTGAAATTATATTGTTATGTTACAAGAAACAGAATAATTTTAAAGATTATGTGTATCATAGACTTGCATTTTGTAAAATGCAGGAGTAAATCTTCATGATCATGGCTGTATCAAAAAGTCTGAGGTGCAACCCCGAAAGCACAAGTGACAACAAGAAAAGAATAGCTACATGAGACTTGATGAAAACGCAAAGCCCCTTTAAGGAGGAACGTGAGGAGGCTTTCTGCTCCCCTAAAGATCACAGCCCCAGAATCCCTGCTACCAGGTTGCTGTGAATCAGAATTGACTCTACTCCGATGAGTGTGGGGATTGGGGGGTTGTTTTTCTGCTATCACGACAGTGAAAAGACAAGGGGAACGGGCGGCCACACGTGCCAATGTTACCTAATGAGAGACGGATCCAGGACGAACTCGTGACATTTGAGTAGCAAAATGATAAGTAATTCCATTTGAAAGTGAGTTCAGAATCTGAATAGACACTTTTCTACAAAGAAGACGCATAAATGCGGCAATGCAGTGAATTATTGAACACTGCTCTTACAGCCATAGCCTTTGTAACTGCCACCAAATGGCTTTGTTTCCTTGGTGGGTCTGGGTAAGAAGATGGGCAAGATCCTGATTGGAGGATGTGCTTCCTCTGTGAGTGCTTGTTAACAAGGGTAATTGTGGTTGCCGTCCTGCTGGGTGTGAAAGGAGCTATCTCAGAAACAGGAGAAGAGGATCTCACTGCCAGCACGAGAGAAGAGCCAGGAGCAGTGCTCTTCTTACATAAAAAGACCTTGGGCCCCAAGATCCCTGTGCATTGAACTTCCTTGGTCTGGGAGACTGCTGTGCCCCGTGGAATAGCAGAGGACCCGCAGCAGAACCATGAGCCAGAGAACATGGCAGCATCGTGCACTTCCCAGCCCACAGAGCCAGTACAGCTGAGTGCTCTGGGGCAGAAGGCTGGCCTGTGGAGGGGGGCGCCTCCTGGCACTTAATGGAAGAATTGGATCTGCTAACTCAAGAAGCTGGAACCAAGTACCTTCAGACTGAGACTTACAGCCCAGGGGCACATCCTTTGGGCATTTTTTGGCAGCACTGAAAGAGTTTGTAACTTAACCGAGCAGGGCAGAGGCCAGGCTGAGAGCAAAAAAGAAGCCTTCCCTGCAAGCACAACAGAGAAGAAACTATCTCGATTGAAAAATTGTATCTGAGAATTTCTCTCAGATATTGCAACCTATTAACTTTCCTAATAAGCCCCATACTCGGGAGCATCATCTGTGAATCTGTGTGGTCATTGCGATGAATTATTGGACCCAGCAGAAAAGGTACTAAGTGCGTGGAAAGCAGAGTGCCCCGGGAAGGGTAGTTGATGCCATGATGAGGTGCAGAAGGGTGAAGGTTGGAGGCATGGCTGACCCCTGCCACGTGGCATTCAGCCCTGGGAGCTGGAGGAGGTCACGTGGCTCCCACATTTCAGCAAAAAGGCTCATCTTATTGTCATGGAGTCAGTGTTGACTCAGCGACCCTGTGGGACCGGGTAGAACTGCTCCCGTGAGTTTCCAGGCGGTAACTCTTGATGGGAATAGGAAGCCCCCATCTTTCTCCCAAGGAGCAGCTGATGGTTTCAAACTGCTGACCATGCAGTTAGCAGCCCCGTGTGTCCTGCTGAGCCACCATAGGGCCGCCAAAGGCTCATAAGCGCCTGGAAAGATGTGCAATGTTGTGAATCATTGGGGACGTGTAAATCGAGACTAAATCAAGGTACATCGTTACCAATTACCATCAAAAAGACTGTCAGCATAGACGAACAAGTGTTGACGAGGATGTGGAGAAATTGGAACTCACGCATTGCTGGCAGAAAGGTAAAATGCTAGTACAACCACTTCTGATACATATTTTGGCAGTTGCGCTGTACACCCTCCTGGACGGGTCACAAGGCTGTTAAGCTAGTCTCGGAAAGTGGCGGACCATGGTCCCATTTATATAACACTGCCTACGTGGCACAGCAGGAGCGAGGAGGAACATGGGTGGCTTCCAGGGCCTTGGGAAGCCAGGGGGGGACCATCAAAGGTAGCATGAGCTAAGTGTACAGGGTGATGCAGCAGTATCCTGATGGTGCGGGGCGCATGCATCCGAGAACTGCCTGCACAGCACAGGGGGTGTCTAAAACTCCGAATAAGGATGAAGCGTAAGATGTATGGGGGACTTGGGTCCAGGTCGGCCTTCCATCCCAAATCTGCCTCTGAATCTGCATTTCAAGAAGATGCCAGGTATACATATGAATCCCCGGTTCAAAGACCTGGTTTTATAGAATTATTTGGGGAAGCTGGGTCAAGGGTGCACAGGAATTCTCTGTGCTGTTTTACAACTTCTCTATGGGTATCAGATCGTTTCAGAATAAAAGGTTAAAGATAAAACTCTTGAGCACAAAATTGCCATGTGACCCAGCAGTGCACTTCTCTGTATCTGGAAAGGATGACACCAACGCTCCCATCACAGCTTCTAGATGGATACGCGCGGCAGCACTGTCAGAATAAACAGTCCCAGCGCTCCTCGGCTGATGAATGGATAACTCAAGTGTGGCTTCGCAATAAGATGGGAGGAAATACTAACGCATAGTGCAGCGTGGATGAACTGTGAGACACGATGTTGAGTCAAAGACCACAGGTCGTATGATTTCCATTTATATCCAGTCTCCAGAAGAGGCAACGCTACAGAGACCAAAGTATTAGTGGTTGGAAGGACGGGAGAGTTGGGAGGCTGGGGTACAAATACTCTAAAATTGATTGTGGTGATAAAGAACTCGGAGTATACCAAAAACATTTAAATGTACACTTTAAATGGGCAAAGCGTGTAAATCATGTCTTAAAGTTCTTAAAAATAGATCTATTTTGTATTCTGATAATCCTATGACTCAAAGTTCGGTATTTATCAAGAAATCAACTCTGCTGTGTCCTGTGCATACCCCCACCAAGGATGAGCGAGTAATTGCTTTCCTAATGCGGAGAGTTGGGTATTCTCTGAATGGCACTGTAAATCAGATGGTGCAGGACGGTGTTGGTTCTGTCTTAGGACTGTGATGAAGAAAGCACAGTGAGTGTCAGAGAGCGAGAAGATGTGTGCCCTGCCCGAGCAGTGTGACGCTGTCTGGTTTACGTGAGTCACGACAGAACTAGACCAGCAGGGTTAGTATTCTAGTGACTGGTCCTGTTGTTTAATCATCCTGTCCCGGGAAAAGATCAAAAGGCAGGGTGAGAAGTAGGACCATTCTGTCCAAAGCAGTGATGTGGATGGAGTCGGTTAACACAGAAGATTGATGGAAACTGACCAGTCCACTGCTTGGTTTTTTCCCCTTGAAATGTAGTGTGATATGTCCACGTGCCCTTTATTTTTCTTTCTTGTCAACTAGTAACAGGTCACTGGATCTTGTTTCTGAGTTTTTCTCCTAGGTCTCTTCCGAACTCTGAATATATATTGTCAGTCTTAATTTAGAAAGGAAGTCCTCAGAATGAGGGGGAAATTAAGCAACTTTTTACAACAACCCATCCGTAGTTTATGTTTTCATTTGAAACACAGTGCTTGGAAGTGCGTGCTGACTTTGCTTTTTTCCCCCCCCCCGCAGGATATTGCCAGAGTCTGGCCTGGAACGAAAATGCCTGGCCGGATGGGAAACAGAGATAGGACCGCCTATGGCTTGAAAGTAAGTCTGAGCTGCTTTTCAGGAAGAGTCCAATTAAGTTATTGCAAAATGCAAGGGCACCCGAGTGTGCATGCATCCCACAGTTCTGCCAGGCTTTCTCAGTATTCTCTCAGTATTCAGGGGAGAAGAGAGAGAGAGTGTGTGTGTGTCTCCACCTGTCCACCGTGTTCCGATAGCATGTAAACTAGAGTGTGTGTGTGTGTGTGTGTGTGTGTATGTATGTGTCTCCACCTGTCCGCCGTGTTCAGATAGCATGCAAACTAGAATGTGCAACAGTAAAATGAAAACATTAGTTCTCCGCCACTTGACTGAGATTTTCAGAAAATGTTGTGTAAAAAAAGTAAGTCCCAGAGCTTTTTTTCCTCCCATAAAATAGTGAACCAAAAAAATCCCCCACATGTGTAGTTGAGTATGTCATCCCATAAGCACAGAGAGGCATGAGAGGTTAGTACTCGACTATGGCTAACTTATCAGTTGTGTGGTAGGCGGGAAAGGAGGTGGGTGAGGAGAAGCCGAGGGAGGTGAGCAAAGGGGGGAGAGCACTAAAAGATGATAAATACAGATTTTCTTATAGGATAAGTGTATATATTTAAGAGAAAAATTAAGCTCAGTCTGTACTAAATTGAGAAGTATATGTGATACATAAATTAGAAATCAATTTATACTATAATGGGTGCATTATTAGTCCTATGCTTCCAAAATTAAAAGGGTGCTATTTATGTAGCTAGGCTCCAATGCACAGAAAGTACAAAAATAAAATAAGTTCCCATAAGTACAATAATACCCAAAGGCAGTCTTTTCTGTGCCTGTCTTTCCAGTTTTTATTTTAGCTGTATCTGATGTCTAATTTTTCACCGGCAAAAAAAACCCCCACACTTTTATTCTGTAGCTAAGATTCCATGACTTTTACGCTGTACAGAATTCATGCTTTTTTGTTAGTTTTCAGTTTTTCCCTGTATGTGTGTGGCTGTAGTCTCTGTAGTCCTTATCTTTTAGCCATTGGTACATGTGAGCTGGAACTTGGTTTTCCCCGACGAGATGTAGTTGTCTCAGTACATTGTTTTTGATGATCCTTCCTCGCCATTTGATTCTACGAGGGGTTTCCTCCGTGTGAGCTGCTCGGCCTCTTAGTGTCAGTATCCGGCCATCTTCGTAGATGCGCAGCGTTGACTGACAAAAGGAAGAATGCAGCTTGTGCTGTGTCATCTGTGAGTGAGCTTAGACCACCCACTGCGTTGCTCTGGCCTTACACCAGGGGCTTCACAGAGTTAGTGCGAACATGTTGTTGAAAGACTACAATTTTTCCACGAGGTGTTTGAAGCCTCTTTCTGTAAGCATGGAAGAAGGTTATCCCCTTTCCACCAGCTTATGTTCTGTGTCAAGGACGGGTCACCCTCGATCTCCCCCCACCGTCTTAGAGCCATTCATTGCTGGCCAGGCCTGCTCTCCCCCGTCACTCACAGGGCTGGGATCTGTGTCCACCCTCCACATTCTGAAGTGCCCACACGGTAACCTCATGTCCCCGTCTCTTGTTAACAGGTACTGCTCGTTTGTTTTCACACAGGTCTGTTGCTTAACTTGTAATGTTTTTTCTTTGATTTCTCTTTATGCTCTAGGTGTGGAGAATAAACACAAAGCATAATATCATCTATGTAAACGGCTCTGTGCCTGGACATAAAAATTGCTTAGTAAAGGTATGTGTAGCTGACAGATAAGTGTATGTGTTCCAAAGCCTTCTTTGACCCACGAATATGGTTTGAAATATGTGACTTTTCATCACACACTCTGCTGAACTTTACTGTTTGTGGGACGACGGGGTAAGTATCTAAATGTGAAAGTTGTACAACATAACCCATCAAACTAAACCTGAAAAAGGTAGAGCTACCAACAGGGATCTTCAGCAACATAAGAAGGTTATTAAGAAATTTATTGTCACAATATCAGTGTATCTCTATCCTTCCAAACAAGAACTTTTTTGCTTTTCAAATAGAGCAACTCTGACATCTGAATTGGCACTATGTAGAGTTGAAAGTAAATGAGAGGTAAGGATCAAGAAAGGTGATTAAAAGTCGATATTTTTGAGAGAGCTTTATCATTATTAGGGCTTTCTATGCTACCCTAGGTACCCCCTTAAGTGTTTTTTCTTTGGGAAGCAAATTATTATTGTATATTAAAAAAAAATTTTAAACCAAGCATATACAGGATAGATTTGAAATGAAAATTCTTAAACTCTCAAAGTAAATATTCTGCCTGACATTTAGCCCACCACAACATAAATTCTCTCACTTCTGAATTTCCACTTCTATTTTGAAAAGTTGTAGTTGAAATGATCAGCTATTCCAGAAATAACATTGATCTTACAACAAACATCTCTAAGTTTACATAATCAGATTTTTAAAATTTGATTTTTCTCTATGTATTCTTCTCATTTCTTGTCTTAAAATAACTAAGATTTTTACTTACTTGGATTATCTTTGAAACCCTTCCCTTCCTGACTGTATTATGTTCCTTTTAAGGAAAATGTTTCACTGAAACGGTTTTTTATTTTTATCAGCTATAGAAGTAACTAGACTAAAAAGATAACTTTGTAGCTCGTCTTCATTATGATCTAGGTAGGCCTAGAATGGATTTGCGCTTCATCCACTTCGTATAGGAAATCGGAGCTCTGGTTGTGTAGTGGTTACATGCTGGGCTGCGCTGACCGAGGTCAGCAATTTGAAACCACCAGCCAACTTGCGCTCCCATAGCAGCTGCAATCTCAGAGACTCATAGGAGCAGTTGGGTTCAGCCCTAGAGGGTCACTATAATTCGACATTTCCTCGATGGGCAGTGAGTTTGGTTTTTTTGAGGGTTTTCTTATATAAAAAGGGTTATTAAAATGAAAGCCCAAAGGAAGGTGCTCCTTAGATTGAACAGGTGTCTGTTCTTTACAAGGTATATGGTGTCTTTCTCAACAGGCATTAGTTTATTGGCCTGAAAACAACCTTACGGTATTAAACATACTCTAATATTTTTATTTATCATTTAAGTTATTGAAATGTCTTTCCTCCCAGGTCTTTTATTTGGTCTTCAGGTCTCACAGAATAGGGTTGCAAGTCAGCCTTGAAATTTAATAAGATAATAGAAAGCAGCAAGATGCACTTTTATATCATGAGATGGATTGTGCAGTATAAGTGTATTTGTTTAAATATAAAACAAAGCTAAAACAAGTTGGTTGGACCTCAGAGCAGTGAACCATCATCAGAATCTCAGATCAAGACACACGATTAAGTGACGGTAAAGAAAGGACTGGTGACCCTCAAGTTGAGACTCCCGAGACCCTTCTCCCAGGGTACC